ATTTTATTTTATTTTTTGCACAGTTTTTTAATTATTTTAATTTATTATTTTCAATTAAATTAAATTTATAATTTATAATTTATATTTTTTATTTAATATATAATTTTAAATTAACAACAATAAAAAATAATTTTATTTAATATATAAATTAAATTTTCAACAACACTAAAAAAAATTTAATTTATAAGGCCATAATTTATAATTTATTATTTTTAATTTAAAACTATATGAATAAAATTATAATAGTAAAAAGTTTAATTAACCTTATATTTTTTACCCTACTTATTGGGTTATGCTCTTGCGTCATGCTTGGCAATGTATATATAAATTGGATAAAAGTTCTTTTTGTAAATTTTCATTTCAAATCAAAATACTCACATTAAAATCAAAAATTAAAAAAAATGAATTTGTCATATTATTTTGATGATTTTTTAAAAATTTTGTTTTAATAATAAATTTGGTTGGGAATCATTTTTCTTATATTATTCTCAAAAGAATTACACTTGCCTTTTTCTTTTTTTTTTTTCTTCTTCTAGAATTGCAATTATGTTTTTCATGGGGGCAATATTGAAAGATTGCCTGATAACAACTTACTAATTTGCTTCAGGTAAACAACTTAGACTAATTTAGTTGATCATAATCTTTGTACTCACTAATATTTGACATTTGGTTAATAAAGCTAAAAAGTTAGAAGTCAAAAAATTATACAATAAAATAAAATAAATAAATAAATATTATACTTTCTATTTTTGTATTTTAATTTTTTTTTTGTAAAAAGTCAATCTTTTCCGAACACTAAAACTTTCCAAAATTATATTACAAAAAAAAAAAAAAAAAAAAAAAACTCACCATATGTATAAAGGCCTTAATTTGGAGACTTCGCCTACACCCCTAAATAACTCAAGGTGGGCCTAGCCAAAATCAATTTAGATCATTTCCAAAATCCCACAACCAAATCACCACAAAACCTTATAACCAAATTCATCACAAATTTGACCATTATAAAACCTTAAACAAAGCACCACCACAGAAAAAATTACAAAAATGTTAGACATTAAAAAATTATCAAAAATTTTACGCAATACTCACAGAAATATGGATTCATATGGTATGAGATTCACACCCATATAAGCATTTTGTATAATTTTTGATAATTTTGTTGAGACCCTAACATTGCCTCAAAAATTTAGGTTACACACGTGTATACCATAAAATTTTCTAATTTTGAGAATTTGTTTTTATTTGTGTCTAATTTGTCCAACTTTAATTATCATTAGTGATAATTTGTCCGACATCAATAGTGATAATTCATTAATTTTTTGATAACGCCAATCTTGGCTACAAAGATAAATCCCCGCCTTTCCCCCAAAAAATGTGCATATAAGCAATATGACAAAAACAAATAATTGATGAAAAATTATTTAGCAGTCTCAGAATATCACGTGACATTATTTATAATTTCTTTTTTTTTTTTTTTAAACTAGTCTATGATCCTTCAAACTAATCATGCCGACTGACTTTTATTAAATAGATAAAAAAAAATAAAAAATAACTCGTTTAATATGTGTTACGAAATAATTTCTTATTAATTAAAATATTAGGTTGCTAATACCATGCAATATTCGGAGAGAAAAAACCCTATGTACTTGGGTTTGGTTGGTGGACAATCTTTTTTATTTTAGGATTAGGCAATTGCTTGTTGGTGGACAATCTTTGCCTGTGTTTGGCAAGTGGATTTGCAGGCTTTTTTGGCTATTTTAGCCACAAAAAACAAAATAGGCTATTTTAGCCATAACAAACAAAACATCACATCCAACCCATAATCATTACATTCTTCTCTCACAAAAAAAGTCAAAAAAGCCAAAAAGCCAAAAAGCCCTTCCCAAACCAAGCTTTTTAGCCCAGGCTAAAATAGCCAAAAAAGCCAAAAAGCTAAAAAGCCAACCCACTTCCCAAAAAAGCTTTTGAAAACTAAATCCGCCAGTACAACTAGTTAAACCATGATTAATCTAAATCTGATTTGGCCAAAACCATCAAACCAGTTTTCTAAGAAAATAGAGGATTATGTGGTATGAAGGTCTTATCTTAAACACATGGTCATGGGTTTAAGTTTTACCCACCTCTTTGTGTAACTTTCGTTTTTAAAATAAAAAATACTGTCATGTAGCATGAGGAGAGTAAAGACTTCACTACACCAATCAATTGAGGGTTTCACTTAATGATAGTATACATATACTTAAATTTCTCTCTCTCTCTCTATATATATATATTGTTTTCAATATTCCAAGATCAAAATTCCTACAAAATTGTAAGAGCATTCACACCAAACTCTTCAAATTTTTAGTCAAATTAAAACTATTTCATTATTTTAGCTACTCACTTTGTAGCACCTATTGGATCAAACTCTTTATTCTAACTTATTCTTATTAAATATTATTTTCTTATTGCGTTTGTTAGTCTTTCTTTTTTTACTTTAGTTTACTATATCAATATGTAATTTGTCCTTTGTTTGCTGACTCTTCAAATTAACAGTAAAAATTTTCTCTGTTAAGATTATTATTTCATTATTTTAATAAATTTTTTATTTAATATTTTTACTTATGACGATAACAATTATAGTGATTATAATGTTTGCTGATTTCACTATTTAAATATTAAAATTTCACAATGAAATTTATTATGAATCAGAGTAAAATTTTTCTATAAAACAATAAAATTTTATTGCTAACGTTAATTTTGACGTAAAAAATTTTGATTATTTTTTTTAAAAAAATTCATGGCCAATATGAATCTTGTTTAATAGATTTTGATCAGAGAATTTTAAGAATATTAATTTTATTAAAAATCGATATATAGATCAAAAGTTATCTAATTTTAAAGTTTGAAATATGAAATTAATTATTAAGGATATTTTGATAATAATAATGTGTGTTGGCCTTTTAAGGCAAAATTTCTCTATTTGTCCTTAATCTATGAAAATTTTGTTATAAGGGGATTTTGACCAAATTCTTTTTAAACTATTATAAATAAATTAATTTTAAAATGTTGGGTAAAAAAAAGTGAAAAAAAAAAAAAAGTTGATTGGTATTTTAAAGAGGTGGATTTCGCTCAAATTTAAATTTGAATATGAGAGAATTTGATTGGGCTGTGATATCTACCACATGTCCCGTTTAATGATCTAAATCATTCATTTTGTAGGGCTCTCAGTTTATATCATTTATACAAAAAATTAGATTGATCCAATAATAGTAATTTTTTTTATGAGATAAACGCGATAAAATAAAAATGTTACAATTATCGGATCATCCTAATTTTTTTCATAAATGATATACACTATGGTATTACTAAATAAACGATTCGGATCATCAAAATCAGAATCCTCAAATTCTCTCAAATTTTGATTTAAACTTGAAAGAAATCTAACCATTTCAATAAAAAAAATGGTATGAGAGAACTTGAGAAGTTTGTGGAGCTCACCATAGATTCCATTTCAATGCTCTGAACGGCTTATTTTATAGGACTCTCAATATATATTATTATGAATAAAATTAGTTTAATCTAATAATCATAATCATTTTATTTTTTCACATTTGTCTTTAAAAAATAAACAATAAATATATTTAGCATATATTTTTTAGTGACAAATATGATAAAATAAAAAAATTACAATTATTAGATCGAACTAATTTTTTTCACAAATAATATACATTAAAATTTTATAAAATAAACAACTAAAATTATCGAAATAAACTCGTGATAAGTTTTTTAACCCATTAAGCCTATGGGTGTACACGGTCCGGATTAGTTCGGTTCTGAGAAAATTCAAGAACTGAACCAATCCTAACGGTTCTGTAATTTTGAGAACCAGACCAGACCATTACACTTGTAAAACCGGATCAGAACCAAACCGAAAAAACGGTTCGGTTTCGGTTTGGTTTACGGTTCCAAAAATTTCTATTTATAAGAATAAATTGTTAATATTAGCTAAATAATTACTCAAACTAATTACATTTAACTCATGATAAAAACTAATAATATTGAGGCATTACTTAATATTACATATATATATCATCCTAATATCATTAAAATTATAAAAAACCAATTAATAAAAATAAAACTTGATATTATATATATATATATATATATATTTTTTTTAAATTCGGTTCGGTTCGGTTCGCTTTGAACCGCGATTTTTTCATAAAATTCATTAACCGAACCGTTTTTACGGTTCTCATATTTCTTAATCCAAAACCAAACCAATTCTTAATAGAACCGAACCAAACCGTATGATTCGGTCTGGTTCGGTCCGGATTACCGGTATGAACGGATTTTTGAACAGCCCTAATTAAGCCTTTATTTGGCACGTCAGACTTTTTAACTTTTTTGGTTATTTTAGTCACAAAAAGACAATAAAACAATACATTACATCTAAACTATAATCATTTCATTTTTTCTCTCACAAAAGTCAAAAAAGCTAAAAAATTTATTCCAAACGAAACTTTTTAACCCCAAGTTAAAATAGTCAAAAAATCAAAAAATCAGTTCAAACATTATTCAGCCTCCGTTTGGGAAGTGGGTTGACTTTTTGGCTTTTTAACCTTTTTGGCTATTTTAGCCTGAGCTAAAAAGCTTGGTTTGGGAAGGACTTTTTGACTTTTCGGCTTTTTGATTTTTTTTTATGAGAGAAGAGTGTAATGATTATGAGTTGAATGTGGTATTTTGTCTGTTGTAACTAAAATAGCTTATTTTGTCTTTTGTGACTAAAATAGCTCAAAATTTCCTTGCCAAACGAAGCCTAATTTTTTTACGAAAAGGAAAGTTGACAAAATAAAATGAAGAATAATTATAACCAAAGAATATTCCGCAAATATTAACCCACCTAATTGAATTTGAGTTAGGACCAAACAAACAACGGGCCAAAGGCCGGATAAGATCAGACTTTGTTTCTCATCTCCGCTCACTCCAAACGTTACACGTCATCTACAACCACCCACAGATAAGGACCGTTCCCCTCTCTCTCTCTCTCTCGCTCTCTCATCCTCCTCTGTGTTTATTTATATTCGGACGCCCCAATTGAAAAGTTCCTCTATCCATTATTGCATCCATTTATTATTGACTCCTAATCAGGATTAACCTTGCCGTGTTGAAACTCTCATTATTCAAATCCCAATATATCTATATCTATATCTATATCTATATAGTCGTTATTATTGTTTGTGCAATTCAAAGGCTGTTTTTGTGATTTGTTGTGAGAGAATCGAGATCAAGATCGTTGAGAATGGCGAGTGTTGCTGGGATGATTGGCCGAGGTTGTGGATCTTCTTCGTGGATCCAATTGAAGAATTCGAAGAAGAAGAAAGCGATGAGGAAAAATGACAGGGTTAGGGTTTGTACTGCTTCGTATCCTGCTTCTTCTGCTGTCACCGATCCCTACAAGACATTGAGGATTCAACCAGGTGCTTCTGAATCTGAGGTCAAGAAAGCTTTCAGACAACTTGCTCTCCAGGTAATTTCTCTTTTCATTTTTTTTTTTATCAAAATGTTGTTTTTTATATTTTCATTTTTTGATTAATATCTTCTTCTATAAAATCTGGTTCTGATTGGTCTCCTTTCCTATGAATTTTTTAATTTTTTAAAATTCATTAGAAAAATGTTAGAAACTCAGGATTTAGATCTTAAATTCACCTAATACAAGGTAGTAAAGTTGACACTTATTGCAAAAAAATTGAGATTCTCAAACATTTTTGATTATGTTTAGAATGAGTGGTTTGAAAAAATATCGGATAAAAAATAAATAAAAATTTAATTGCAATTGCATTTGACGCATGCTTCATTTAATGTTATTTTTCATTTATTTGATTTGATTAAAATTTTTTTTTTTTTGATTAATTATTAATGTGGAACCCATTTTATTAATTAATAATTATGTTTGTAATATGATGGAATTTCAGTATCATCCGGATGTTTGCAGAGGAAACAATTGTGGGGTTCAGTTTCACCACATTAATGAAGCTTATGATGTAAGTCCCTACTCTTTTTGTCTATGGGCCTTTTATTTTATATTTTTAATTATGATAGAGAATTCTCATGGTTCATTAAGTTGTTTTATTAATAATTTAAGAGTTTATCTTGTAAGATTTTGCCTTTATAAAAATCTTGTAAGATTTTGTAGTAGATAATGAAAAATGAAATTAATCTGATAATTAGCACTGGTTTGTCATAGCAGATTTTGGGGTTAAAATTATTTTAGTTATAAAATGACAAAATATACTAAAAAGTTAATAAAACAAAATATCACATTCAACTCATAATTTTTTTTATTTTTTCTCTCACAGAAGTCAAAAAAATTAAAAAGTCTGTTCCAAATGAAATTTTTTAACCTAAATTAAAATAACAAATTTTTTTAAAAAAAGTCAAAATGGCAATCAACTAAATGTTGGTCCTAATCAAACGCACCCTTAATTTCAAAATGAAATCCTATCTTTATCTTTAATTTTGATTGCTTGTTGTGCTCATTGGTTTGGAAGGTATTCTTGTTTATGCATATTTTAATTAAAGTGTGATAGATTAGATTAGGACCAATAATGTATTTATATTTCCTCGCTTTGTCTGGTGGGTAGTTTAGATATTGTGGATAAAATATGGAGTATTTGTAAGATATGGACTTGTTTATGTGGATAAAGAGAGTGTTCACCACTAGTCTTATTTTTTATAATATTATGTTGATAGATCACTCATAAAAAATTATAAATTAAATTGATTTGATCGAACTATAAAATTGATTTAAAAACTAAATCTTTTATTTTATAGACAAAATTGATAGTATTGTTGTTTATAATTATCAGATTAATTTAATTTTTTATACACAAAATCTTACAATCTATATAGTGGGTTCTATTAGATCAAAAAATACAATAATACGATCCGATTATTTCAATTTACACTAGAGAGAAATCATTATCTATTTTTAATAGCAAGGTAGAAGAATAATTCCACTCGATAAATGCCGTACTAGAGAGAAATCATTGTCTATTTTTAATAGAAATGTAGAAGAATAGCTCCACCCAATAATGCCGTGTTATAATTAGGATTAGTTAGTGTAAACATTATTATTTTTAGAACTAATTGTATTCTATTTGTCTTTAACAAAAGCAATCACTTTCATTTTGTGATTGATGATGGTGATGGCCTTTGTTGCTTGATATGGACAATTCAACCAATTGGACTTTAATCTTGCTAAGAAATAAAAAAGTTAGGAACAAAGAAAAGCAGACAAGTGTTGAAATCCACGTCAACATTTAATTGATTCTTTACTTCTGAAGATAGCATTGTTTTTGGACCAAAGGATTTTGATCCTATGCTAAAATGTCCACTTGTGGCATCAACCCATTAGACTTTTTGCCCCATCTTATACTCTATTTGGATTGGGAATTTGGATTGGGGATTTGAAGAGAGATTTAGAAAGGAAAAGGGAAAAATTAAGTAAAATATAAATAAAATATACTTATGTTTCACTTAATTTTACACACATTTTTTTTTTCTTTTCAAATTCTTTCTTAAATCCCTCGACTATACAGAGCGTAAGTGGCCAAACTCATCTTTTTTGCAGCACTTTTGTTACAAATTAAAAACTTTTAAAGGTCGAACTTATCTTGTTTGCATCAATTTTAATTAAAGCAATGAGTTGTGGCTAATTTAATTATGTGTGGTTATTGTATGGTGCAGATTGTGATGAGTAATTTGAGAGGAGAATCAACTCTGCCAGAGATGGAGATGTATGAGTCGTACGATGCAGATGAACCCATGAGGGGGATGAACGATCCTGATTGGGACATGTGGGAGGAATGGATGGGATGGGAAGGAGCTGGAATTCGGGACTATTCTTCTCATATTAATCCTTATATTTAAAAAAAAAAAAAAATCATAACCATTTTGTTTGTGTTTAGACCCTCCAATTATATCAATCAAGATGGTTGATCATAATGTTGTATAGTTTATTGAAGTGGGGGTTAATTAAAATGGTTATTCCAATGTACATATTTAAGTTCCTCTTGTTACTTGGTATATAAGTATATAATAAAATGTTTCGATATTATGAGATAAAGCAATGATGTCTCATCTTGATGAATCAAAACATGAATGTTAGAAAATTTGCTAGTTTTTTATTTTTATGCACCCTCTTTTTATTTTCTTTGGTTCTTTTTATTATCTCCAACCAATGTATTGGGGTGTTTGGCAAAGGTTTTTTTTTTGAATTTTTAGGTTAAAATTTTCAGAAAGACAAAATAGGTTAAAATAACCAATAAGATAAAATGTTACATTAAATTCATAATCTTTTTATTTTTTTTCTCACGAACATCACATATAACTACAAAAAAATTTAACTATATTTTTAAATATAAAAATTTTAACTTACTAAAATAGTTAAAAATTAAAATAATCTATTAAAATAGTAATTTTTTAAACATCCATTATGTTTGTTTAATTGCATAGGTGATAGAATTGAATTGATAATTTAATAGATCTCACATAAATTACATGAGGGGATTAGCATTTTTATAATTTTTAATTCAATTTCATAGAATTAGAAGTAAAACTATTTTTGCTTTCGTTTTACAAAATAATATATTTTTTTTTAAACATAATTTCATAAATTTAATCTTAACCTATTAATTACTGCACAAATGTGGAAACCAAAATTATCTTGTAATTATTGGGGCCCAAGCTCGGACACGTAGCATGATTCTATGCAAAGTTACCCAATTAGGCTACTCTGGTGGAGAACAATAGGATGCATATTGCGCCATTGTATAGAGTTATCATCATCTAATAAGGAGGCATTACTACAACTAATAGAGAAGCAATCTCAAAGGCAGTTATTTAATTCTTTATAAAAAGAACACACTTCAGCAGAGTGAGGTACACAATTTCTCACATAAAAACTTCTTAGCTTCCGTTTGGGAAGTGAGTTGATTTTTTGACTTTTTGATTTTTTTGATTATATTAGATTGGGCTAAAAAGTTTGGTTTGGGAAGGGTTTTTTAGTTTTTTGACGTGAGAGAAGAATGTAATGATTATGGGTTGGATGTGATATTTTGTTTTTTTGTGATTAAAATAACCTATTTTATCTTTTGTGACTAAAATAGCCAAAAAAACCCCGTTTAGCTCTGGCCAAACGGAGCCTTAGTTAATGACTTCTACCTTCATCTTCATGAAGCTTGGCTTTAACTTAGGCATCAGAGTAACTGTTCGACCTGCTCCAAATGGGGCACTAACACGCTTACTACAAATGGGATACTATCGGTGTGTTATTTTGTAAACAGTAATGTTAGGTATCATAAAAAAAATTTATTAAAATAATCATAAAAGTTTTGTGACTCTTGAATTATACTTAGAATAAAGCACCACACACTAATGAAGGTAATTCAAGGATTATAAATCTTTCATGAAAAAATTTTCATGATCCCTAACTTTTCTCTTTCGTAAATTCATAGGCGTGGTTATTTTTTTTTGTTGTTGTATTCAATAATAGTGTGGGTTCAATTTTTCTTCCTACACAATAAATCACTAGTTTAATACTGGACATTAATAATCCCATCACCTATTAATGCCATATTAATAATATTATCACTCAAATACACTATATTCATAATTTCATTTAATCTAATAATAAAGCATTGTGATTTATGAGTCTACACAGTGGCGGAGGGAAAGAAGGATGAGGGGGTTCACGTGCCCCCCTCCCCCCTTCAGTTTTGAGATTTTTTTTTTTTTTTTGTTTGTGTGTGTGTTGCTGTCATATATAAAATATATATTTTTTTTCTTAACATGTTTTTTGATTAAGGATTTATTATATTGTTCATAACAAATAATTATTTGATATTTTAAGAGTACTATGTGGTATTATTTATGTAATAGTTTAAATCAATAGTATAGGGAGAAATCTTATAGGTTGGATAAAATGAACTCATTATTTTCAAACAGTTAAGAGATTGCTTAGTGTGATTTGTGATTTCTCATGCTTTGAGCATCACATAGGCAATGTTATATGGTATTCTAAGACTGTTTAATAATTTTCATTCAAAATAAATCATTTATAAGCAATGTCATCTCTTTAATATTTTTCTATCAAATAAAAATTAAATAGATTTTATAATAATTTGTCCTATAAACAATGTGTTTTTATTTTCTAAAATTAAGAATTTTGATCCATAATTTTTGTGCTGAAATTACAAACTTACATCACCATGCCACACCGAACTATTCTACACTATTATAGAATTTTAATTTGTTCCTATTAATAATGAATATGTAATTTTTTATATTTAAATTTAGCTCATAAAATTATTATTATCTTAATGTTCATCATGAATTTTTTTAAATAAAAAATTATAATTAATAGTGCCCCTTCTAACTCAATTTTCTGGCTCTGCCACTGAGTCTAAATGTTTTTTTTATTATTATTTTAATTTTTTGTAGGTTATATACATTAATAAAAGGAGTTTTTACTATATGACTTTTAGACTACTAAATCGGAAGCTTTTTTAGTAATTTTAATTTTTAAAAATTTATGTTTATCTAACTCATTTTTTTTTAGTATTCCATTAGATCTTATTTGGTGTAATATGACCAAATTACCTTTCCAACTTTCTGTGCTTGTTTCTATTTTGAAATTCATACACAATAAAAATAATAACAATTCTTTATTTCACGGAGAAAATCTCTCCTCATTTCAGGGAGAAAATCTCTCCCTAATTCCATAGAGAAAATCTCTCATTTCAGGGAGAAAATCTCTCCCTAATTCCATAGAGAAAATCTCTATTTCATTCTAGGCGAAAAAATCCATCCCTTATTCAACAGAAAAAATTTCTCACATTTTCAAAATCCTAAATCGGAAAATTTCTCACTAAATATTGATGTGATTTCTCACATTACAAATGTATGTTGATAAATAACACATTCTCATGGAAACCATATACACACTCAATGTTATATATGAGTGTGTGAACATTAACATTGGATGCAACTACCTATTTGTATTACAGAATTAATATAAATATTCGCATCGCTATGTATACACTATGTTTTTGATCAAAACAACACATTTTTGTTTGTGTTAATATGACTACTAGTATACAACTAACATTCGAAAAAACAAAATATATATCAAAGTACAATGTAAATATTCACAATAAATAACAAATATATGACACTAACTTTCAAAAAAAAATAAAACTCATATCAAAATATAATGTAAATATTCACAGTTTACAATTAACATACGACTACTCTTAAAAAACTAAACTCATACCTATGTGAACAATCACACTGTAACGTGAAATATAAAACAAAATTGAAAAAAGTAAAAATTGGCTATTTCAATTGTTCAATGGTAACAAAAATAATTGTTTAACCAACAAGTATAGTAACAAAAACAACAAACATACAACTAACATTCTAAAAAATAAAATTCATACAAAAATACAATGTGAATGTTCATATTTTATAATTAATATACAACTAGCCTTAAAAAGAAAAGAAAAGAAAATAAAATAAACTCATGTCAATGTGAACATTCACACTGTAATGTGAAAATATAAAATAAAATTAAAAAAATGTGAAAATCTACTATTTCGATTGTTCAATAATAACAAAAATGATTGTTCAACCAATAAATATAGTAACAAACAATATATAACAAATCATCAAATAATATATAAAAATCATTAAATAGTTCATATATATTTATGCACATTTTAAAAAAAAAATTGTATATAATGAACTCCGGCATAATACCTTTGAATAAACTATATAATATTGATGACTACACAAACTAGCGAAGAGAATATGGTTTATGTATAACAATAGCAAAAAAATAATTGTTCATCTTCGTTTACCATCATCTCTATTACGAGTCAATCATCATCTCTAACATTGGTCTACATGTACAACTAACTTTCTCTTCCAAATGTTCTTCCATGGTACGATCTTATTATAAAATAATAGTGAAGGAAGATTTTTGATTAAGTAATCCCTCACATATATATCATAAATAAAATATATCTACTAATAATTTTCTCTCCTAGATATATGGTATTATATATATATATATATGTATATTATAATAATAAAAGTTTATAAGAGTAAAATAATCCACATAATACTTCTAATGTGAAAAAAGTGATCAATTGAAATATAAGTTAAAATGTATGAGATTAGGTGGAACACAATAATAATTTGTAAACTTATTGAGTTATAAGTTTATAAATAAATTTCTCTATTAATTCCTTTCTATTTTATAGGGAAATTTTACTTACGTCATAATCACCTCTTTACACATATTCTATTACACATCTAAGAAATAATTGAGATTTTAATTACACCCTTTAAAATACCAAAATTAAACCTTTTTCAAAACTTTTATAGATTTTTCTCATTACATCTACTCCTTTTGAATTACTCTGGTGGTATGTTACCAAACAAGCTATATTTGCTCAGCCATTTGTTGCCGCACATTTGTAGATTTGCTTTCCTCAAAACATCTTCTTTCTTCTTTTTTTTTTTTCTTCTAAATTTATGACAGGCTTGCTCGGTTACACATTGCTCAACAATTAAAATTATTGTAGTATCATGTTCCCAAACAAATTAGATTTGTTCATCTATCTGTTGTTGCACATTTACAGATTCAGTTTCCTTAAAATATTAAGCATCCATAAAAAACAAAGTGTACAAACATCCATAGAAACATTCATAAAATTTGTTAATATAAATATCTTCAAATTTATCAATACAATTATCTAAAATACACTGAGATATTATCACAATCCATCTATGTTGATATTTTCAGTAGTTACTACATCAGGTCTGACAAGCTATGAAGCACAGGTGCAGGTACGAATACTACGGGTATGATATAGGTATGCCGATACGATAAGACCAAAAAAAAATAAGATACGAGTATGCTGGGGTAAGTCAATAATTTTTTTTATTTTTTGTAATTTTTAGTTTAAGATTCAATCTACTATTCAAAGTTCAATACCAAAATTAAAAGGATAAATTACAAAACCAACAGAGAAATCATAGTTCAACAATATCATTACCAAAACAA